CGGGCCGGGCCCGCCGCTCCCGGAGCTCTCCGTAGTCCTGAACCCGCCTCGGGGACGCCGGTCCCGGCCGGCGCCACCCGAACCAGGGACCCGGCTCCCTCCTGAGCGCCAACACAGGCTCTTGCACAGCCACGCGATCAATCTGCCCATCCATTTATATGTTCCCTCTCTCGGTAACCAAACCAAACCAAACACCTGAGCTCTCTTATGCTCCCGCTGGGTGTAGGAAATAAATTACTCGGTGTACTGTCTGAACACAACAGCCTTCCACCATGCAGAGGTGATAACCGGTACTTCTGGTACTACACTAACGTCTCGGAACGTAGACATTAACGCCTCTGTCACTGTGCTGGGCACCAACGCAGTGTGCACTGGTAACAGATACATCACGTCCCGACTTGGTGCCCCACACGCATCCTGTAGTTGTTGCTACAGAAAAAGCTGAGCTTTACATGTTTTTTTACAAAACAATTCCCTTAAGGTTAGACCTCTGCAAACAAATCCTGTACGTCTGTCGCGTTTCATTTAGCTTCAGAGATTTGCCAATATGGATAAATGCAAAGGACCATGAATATGAACTGGGACGATGTCTGCTCTGGATTCTCATTGTAGCAGCAAAAGAAGTTGACAGTGTTTGAGCTCTGACAGATAAAAATCACTCATAGTTGTGGGTCCCACATGATCACAGCCTTGCTTGGCCTACAACTAACTGGTGGTCTTGTGCTCTGATGTCATTATCCTTTAAGATACAATTTTGTCTCTTTGAGGAGTTAGAAGTGAAAGAACATATTTAGTGGGCTCAGTGAAATGCTTAAAAATATTTTACCTTAGCTAATCTTTCGGGGTCACCAGGATGTCTTGGGATGACCTTCTGCAGTCTTTGGAAACCATAATCTATGGTAGGTTCATTTAAAGCTGAAAGGAAAACAGAAACAAACCACCATATTGTATGAGTATATCCATCTATCTATCTTTGTAGGACTCCATTACCCAAGAAAGACAGAACACCTCTCCTTGGCTGGGCTCCTCGCTGGCGTACACGGCCGACTGCCCAGGCGAGCCCTGGTCGCTGTGTGTAGGACAGGCTGAGCAGTAAAAGCTGAGCTTTACAAGAACTTCTGCACAAGGATCCCTGATCTCTTTTCAAAGATAATACTTACTCTACCGCTAAGAAAGCTGGGACACACAAGCTGTTGATGTCAGACCACGTTATACAGACCAGGTCCCCTGACTCCTGGTACCCCAACTCCGCCCATTTAATCATACAGATGCCTCTGCCATTATCTGTGTAACAAACTGTGCTGCCCCTGGACAATCCCACAGCGCGTCTGCAATTTGTTAAAGAATTCGTGCCACCTTTCTGCTTACAGCTAAGCCTTCAATGAGCTCTCTGCCTTCGTGCACGTGCGGACGCACCCTACGCCTGCTCGTGCTGGCGGGTGCAGCTGAACTGACCGTACATGCTCATCTCCTGCCAGGGTTCCCCAAAAGGCATTCAGAGGCAGATGTGTTGATGCAAATAACAAAAGTTACCTGAACGCTGTGTGCTATTTGTAAAACTTCTAACTGAAAATACTCCAAAGGGCCACACTGGTGAGTTTGGGTTACTCAGTAAGGGAACAAAAAAATCATGATTTCTGCATTTGAAACTGCTCTGGTTTCCACTGCTGACTTCTCACCATCTATCAAAGGCTGAGTGAATAATTTGAAAGATACAGCAGGGAAGCACTGTCACGGTCTCCTTTGAGAATGAGCGTATTTACTCTGGACAAGACTGACCACGGCAGTAACAGAGCAAGTCATGGCTCAAACATAAATGAGAACAGGTCTCCTCCTGTGTCCGTGATACAGTCAGAAATCAAGAGAACTGTATTTGCTCACCCAATAAGCGCATTACACACACGCCCCCAAACATTTTGCCGTCACAAACTAGGGCACAGCTATTCATCAGACACGCTAACTTCTTCCACGGGGTATGGCTATTATGCATACAGAGCCACTTCACTGTAATGATGTTAATCTCTAGTGGATAAACCAAGATATTTTGACCCAGATCCTCAGTTAGGAATAGCTGGTAGAGCCCTGCTGGCATCGCTGATGACTTCATAAAGCTTCAGACACTTTAATACTCTCTACTATGAAATTGTGTCAATAATAATCTAATTTCTGATTTTTCAAAATTGAACTCCAAATCAATACCGAACCCAAAAGCCAGTGCTGCAGCATTCTGCGTGCTCGTGGGCTTCGACTGCCTCTGGGACATGACGACTGCTCGTGTTAACCAACGCAGTCACAGGTACAATTTTTTTGAATTTCCTTACACTTCACAGCGTGCACTGTAACTCCAACAACACAGCCATGCAATCACATGCTCAGAGTCTTGCTAAGCTTTTCATGACACACTTAAGTAACACATCCAAGTCCTTTAGCACTACCCTCGTTCAGTGGCAGCTTCTATCCTCTTCACCATTTGTGGTTCTTTTGAAAAAGATTTTTTAAAAAAAAAAAAACCCTGGTGACAGCGCAGCTGGAAACAGCTGACTGCAAGAGGCGCTGATGGCACTTACGGAATCTTCCCAAATATACTCAGCACCTTACCAGATAACCATCTCAACACCAGAAGAATGAAACTATCAAGTCAGACAGACTATTATACTGATCCAGATTCCCTGTTTATCTGTATCTGTCCCTGGTATAACAACACGAAGGTAAAAGGTCATATTCCCCACTGAATTACATTTTATATTTACTTTTTATTAAATAATTATGGCATGGCATGAAGTTTAAATATTACAGGAGATAATCAAGTGGGAATTGAGCAGAGAAAACCCAGACCTGAGAATTTAGTCTTGGCTATACTTAGAATGTCTTTGCTCTCCACTGGGAGCCATTCTGGTTTGCTTAAGGAGTTTAATAATACACATTTCAACTGCCACAGAAATCTACATCCCATTTGGGAAGAGGGTTTTTTGGGGGGGTGGAGTTTTTTGCCAATAATCCTGAGAATTACAGGCCAATTCTCTCAAGAGCCTATACATCATTATGTGCCATTTCTCTTCTTGATCACGAGTCTAATCAGTTATCTATCTTAAGCTAAGCAAAAGCAATGTAAAATATACAGGAATTCAAACATATATGTATACATAGTTCACTAAGAATAGCTAATGGGAATATACAAAATGCTAATTCAAGAAGAAGAAATTGGCTATTATTCAACAAACATTTTTTCCAATGAATTGACATGGACATTTTCACTCTGATAGATAAATAGCAGCAAATAATTTCTCAACAATGCTGAATTTTTCTAAGAACAACTCAGCCACTTTAACCTAATGTATGTATTATAACTTTCAGCAAAGAAAGTTTTCTGTACAGCTTGCAACAAAATTGCCTGCTACTAGTTTTACTCATTAACAAAACAAAAATATCTCTGCCATGAAATCCTGCTAAGAACCAACATCCAATATTGCAGAAGTAAATGGTACCTTCTCAACTGAAGGGCAACTTGTAGAATCCAACAGCTTCACCACACACAATACCACCTCCACCAGGGAAGAAGCTACTGGATCAGTAGTGATTGATCTATGTGTTACGTAGAAATATACCAAAACTACATCCAAATGCTTTGGGGTTCATGGAGTGACAGACCATAAAGGAGTCTGACACAGAAGCAGCCTGCTCATTATTTCCTACAAATCAGGTATCTGAAACGAAACCCCCAAGAAAACCGGCTCAGGTACAGCAAAATCCCTTTGGCAACTCTCAAGCCCACTGATTCAGGCACAAGGGGTCTCCTGAATTTCCCAGAACGTAGTTTAAAAAATTGTGCATGACAAGATATAATGTGTGCAAAGAAAGAGCAACTGTCTAGTAAATATTAGTCTACAAACTTCCCTGCAGCATAACTCTTTTAACAACAGGATTGTTACAGTCAGCAGTAGGGAGAGGTCTAAACACCCCACAGCCCGCCTGTATTTATGACAAGGCTCAAATACAGCGTGGCACAGCGCTCCTGCTTTGATACTGCTCCTCACCCTCCAAAACCCACGCTTGCATTTCAAATACAAGTCTCCAGCTATTAGGACTCACTGGAATAAGAGAAAAAAAAAAACCCTCACACTTGAGCAAGTGATGCCGTGACATCTGTCTGCGTTTGCAAAACCTGAAACAACAGCTCAGCCCCATTCATCTCAACGGGACTAACTCGGATACCCAATGATAACGGTGCTGACATTTAAAGTATTAATTATTTCACCACACATCAAAGCACATAAGACTGTTGAAAGAAGATGATGTTATGAAGATCTGCACAATTTACCGTGAGTGACAGCTCATTCTGATATTGCCAGCGTCGCCTGGGGAGATGCACACGCTCCCTCTCCGCCAATCAAAAAAGGGCCACATTTGAGGCCCTGGGCAAAGCTGTGCAGCCCATCTTTGCTCTACTCCAGGAAGCAGACCAGAGGGCAACGAGTCCTCTGCCTGCAAAGTACGAGTGAGAAGAAACGAAGTATGCACACCTCTAGAAACACCCTGAACCTGAGCCAGAGGGAGCATAGTATTTGCAGTGTGATGCCTAACCTTCTCAAAGATGTTACTGTAGAGGAAAAGGCACCAGTGGCCTTAAAGCTTGAATCGCAGCTTTGCACTAGTGACCACCTTCGCTCAAGCCCACGGTGAAGAGATGCTGGGTATCCACCCTACAGAATAAAACCACGTTGCTGGCTGCAGAAGCTTGCTTGCTGTAATCATGCGAGTCCTGGGCTCGGGAGGCACTTACCTACTGGTCAGCCTGCTCCGAGGGGTGCGCTGGGGTCTGGTGGGAAGGAAGCTGCTAGAAGTGCATTGCCGCGGTCCTGCGTGGTTTCTGTTTGCTGGTCCACACACCCCACTCCCCACACAGCGCTGTCTATTACACGTGTCTTTCACAGGTTAAAGCAGTGGAAGGAGCAAATGCTTTCTGTCTCCCCAGCCGCGTTCTGGCCAAGTGAACTCGCTCTTCCCATCTGTAGAGCTCACTGCATCCTTCTAAGTGTTGTTTCCCACGAGCAGATATAACAAGACCTCCTCCAATGTACTTAGAAGCTTTAGCAAACCAGTACCCTCCCATCCTTGGTACCTGGCAGAGACTGCTACAGCACAGCCCGTGAGTCCAACCTATCCTACAGATTATTTTATATTGCATTGCTCTGACAGGTTAACCCCCGGAGGATTTCTGCTCAGCAAGGAAAATTATGTTCAAAATCTCCCTGATATACAGATTTCCAGGTTAGCATCTCTATGACAAAGTAAATGCAGAGCTGTGATCAAACTTAAGGTACAAAAGCCTACGAGACACATCCTCAGCTGGCGTACACTGATGTAAGTGTTACAGAAGTCGAGGGAACCATAATGGAACTACTTACAGGGGCAGAGAATCTGAATTTGTGTAGTATTAAAAGCAGAATATGAGGTTACTGCTAGATTAGGGGCAGAGCACAAATGCCTGACTATTCTACGAACAGCTGATGAAAGAAAAGTAATGCAGAACACGGAGACGGATGTGTAACCTGTATTCTCACTAGATTAAGGTACACATGGGGACTAAATGTTTAGTTGTGGTGATTTAAAAACAGAGTTTTTATCTCGCACTTTAAGTACTAAGCTTAACTACTAACGTGTGTAAGTTGGTTCAGCAACTGCTGTTAACACAGAACGAGCCATTTCTCTAGGTATTTGCAATACTCTGCAGCACACCGTCAGATGTCCACAGAATCCTCTTGGCTTCACTCTTGTAAAAGTTTTCCATCTGGGAACCTTATGGAAAAGTCCACACATCACATTTCGGCGATGAGAGGAATTTGATGGCTGGGTTGCAGCACCCTGAATGATAGCACTTAAGAGTGGAAACGCTGACAGAACCATAACTACGGCAGTGCTAGCACAGCACACTTTGCAAGGAGCCTATTATAAATACACATTACAGGACGCATATGAGCTCCCATAACAGCTCCACTGTGGCATTTAGATTTACCCTTGAAATTTATATCTAATTTTTATATTCATCTTTTAACAGTTGATCATTTTCTTCTTCAAACAACCTGTCTTATTGTGACTTTAAAAAAAAAAAAAAGAAAAAAGCTCAAGTATAATCAGGTCAAACATTAATATTTGATTGTATATTAAATATTGAGGGCATAGGCAGATACAATGCCAAGATCACTGGTTTTCTGTTTCCATGCTTCAGAAGAGTATTGGTGTTCTGGCGATTAAAGGACATGACCAGGACCCGAGCGATCCACTTCCCCGTCTGTCTTCAGCTTTCCTGTACAACCACAGGCAAGGGGTTCATCTTTCTTTGTCCTTCTGTGGCAGCATCTCAGGGATAAGATGGAAGCACGAGTCTTTCTGTAACTGGTTGCCCACGTCTGATGCAGTGAGCCCCCGATGAACGCTCTGAGGTTTGGTTTTATATGAATAATTATTCTTGTTACACCTGTGAAGTAACTACAGCCAGCTACTCAGCATTTTCCATAGGACTTGACCCTTCATGCTTTTCATTTGAGGTTGTATCTCAGCCCTTAATAATTACGAAGGACTTACTACAACTTGACCCTGATAGTACCGGGGCTGCTAGTTGTTGCTGCTGTTACTAGTTCTGACAGAACGACATCTTCCCATGCTTTTAGTTTGCAGGATTTCACACTTCTCAGTCCTCCTGGGCTTGATGGTAACGTCTCTGCATTTCTTAGGTTTTGCCAAGTACAAGCTGAATGTAAAGGGAAGGTATTTAGAGGAGAAATTCTCAATTAGAGAGGCAACTACAATTCATGAGGGAAGTGGTCTTTCTTGTGTCTCCAAGCCTACTGCATTCTCTGGTATGTTATCTGCAAACTTTGTGACAGCTCAGAGGAATATATTGCAATATAAAGCACTGAAAGTATCAAGACAATACTAAACTTCAATTATCACCAAAAATCCCCAGATTTTTGCTATGATGCACAGGGCTACCTTACCAATAATTATAAAATCTATTGAACTTGCCTCTTCTGCATTTGGTACGATATTGGTCTGCTACACTCTACCCAACAAACAGCTGCACTTCTGTGCTGCTACCGAGTGTATTTTGGAGCGCTGTGGATACACACATGCATTCTGCGGGCAGCAGCATTTAAACCACCTGGTTTCCCTGGGTTTCTGGCAGCTTCTCTGCTGCCTAATAACGCGGTTAAGCTCTTCACCCGTTCTTTCAGTGGAGGACTCATTCAGATCTCTCTTACCATTTTCCATTTTCACAAAAACGCGCTGGAACTGTGCATCTGCAACGCTCCTGCCTGTCTGATAAAATCCGATAGAAACTGGTCAAGAGGTGCAAAAGTTGTTGCGGAAGTTCTGGAGGAGACTGACAGGCAGAAGGACCCGGACTGCCTGAATGTGGCTTCCCTGGGTTAAAAACCAACGCGTCCGTTCACAGCAGGATCGCAGCAGTGCTCTGATCACACAGCCACGGAAAGGAAAAAAAAACGCCACTACGTTATTTTCATAGTTTAGGGGTTGTTTTTACTGCCATTAGCAGCAACAACCTGGGGGAACTGATTACACAGGTGAGCCTCTACCTAATAGCTGTGTTCATCATATTGCCTGCCATGGAGGGAGAACTGCAGGTTCTTGAACAGACAGATTGAAAAGTTGTCTGTTCTACCCTCGCTCTAACAGCTCGGCATCTTCTGTGAGGTGCTGGTTTGTAACATATGGCAGGAAGCACCCACTCGCTCCTCAGAGAAAGCGAACAGATATCCCTGTGCCAGCGAGAGCAGTAACAGGGGACAGTATATTTAACTTTCTTCTCTTCTGCTGGCTCCCACATACATCTTCATGTCCTTTTTTGTAGAAGCACTCTAATTAACACGCCAAAGAACAGCACTGCAGTCTGACTCAAGCCCCCCCTAGATGGTACAAGTAAATCTCGCACTTCAAACAACTTTACAATAACACGACCGCTTTTCTTCACAGAGGAACGCACGTTTCTGTGACCCATCTCCGTATTGCTCCGTTCCTAAACCCTTTTCAGCACAGGTACCAACAGCACAGGGATGGCGGCCCTCGGCAACACTTGTGTTGAAGACACTGTGAGAGCAAGGCCTCGAGACACAGAAAATGGCACAGAAGAACTTTACACTTAAATCTGTCAGTAACTAAAGAATCTGTTTCTACAGATTTGGACCCTAAACCTGTTTGATGGCTTTGCAAGTTCTCTCTCAGGAAAACGTTTAACCTGCTCAGACACCAGATTCATCTTTGCCCAGAGACCAGCGAATCAAAGCATTGCCTTAGAAGAAAACGTATTTCAAAAGCTTTTGGCCAGATCCTGATCTCCCAAGCCCAGGAAAAATTCCAGAATGACTTGGCACTGCACTGGGGTTATTTTGGTGCAAAATCAGAAAGAAGTCCTGATCCCTTTGAACTTGCTTCAAAGTCTGTCAATGGAGATCATTTCAGTATCTTCAATTAACGGTGGATTAGCCCCCTATCATAACAAAAAGGATCCTTTGTCAGTTAAGCTTGTATTTCATGACAGTACTAGTATAACTGAAGACTTCGTCCTTGCTGCGCGTTTCTAGGTGTGGCAGTTGTATGAAGAAACACCTTTTCACAAACATAACGAAGCGCTCATTTAGCATGTGAACTAATAAAGGGTATGTGAAACGGCGTACGACAGTAACAGGATCTTCACAAATCATTGGTTCTTTCTAAAGTCCTGAAGCGTCATGTTTTCATTCAAATTTTTCCACTTTTGGAAAAATTCTAACCAATTCACTCAACAGGTGGTTAAGTTTTTACTTTAACATTTTTAATAAAAAACTTCTCGGACCTTCATTATTATTTTTTATTTAAATTATGATTTAAAATTTGGCAGTTATAATACACACAGATTATTTAATGAGGCTTGCTGGTAGTAAGAGGCTTAAAAATTTAAATAAATCCTTCCATTTTGAGAAATCTGAATATGATTTGGTGGGAGCAAGTCATTCAACTTACATATAAATCCGCTCTGTAGAACGTGGCACACCACTGTTCTCCAGCCACGCTTAACAGGCTTCAGAAACTTTAGTGTATGCACCGTACACCATCATTGTGACTACTGGTACTGACCAAGGAGATGGTCGTCTGGTCCCATCTGATTTTCTTCCTTGGGAATCTACAGATAACGTTCGCCTGCTAGCAGAGGTGAATGTAGGGCACTAAATAAGTTGATAATCCATTTAAGAATAAAAAACCCCCAACAGATTTATTTTCCACTCAGCTCATTGGCTTCTCTTTATACAATATGCTGTCTTTGTCCTCAGGGACTATCTTGAAAATGAAAGGTTACCCCCAGCAAGAGGGAAATGTAAAATAAATACTGTTATAAATAAAACATCTTCCAGTATGTAGAGCAATGCTATCATGTTCCTGTACACTCAATATATCTATAGGCAGACTCATATCGTAACAGCGTGAGCTCTAATCTGGAAAAAATATTAACACATGTAGTAACAGTGCCTTAACACCTCTGCACAACAACGAAGCTATCTCCTTACACGTCCAAATGTCACAGCTAGCAGAGTGGCCTTCAAACAGCGAGAGGCTAAATAAATAAAGCAAGCAAGCAGAGAGTTGTCAATACTGATTACCAAAATAAAGAGTCTCTGAGCTCGAGCTCCTCTAGCGTAAACCACGATCACCTACCTGTGTAAATAAACCTGCCCGGTGCGCCTTTGCAAAACTGTTTGGATTTGTACGATAATGTCACTTCAACCACTCCGGGAATGTGACGTGGAGGTGTCTGAACTCGAATGGCATGAGGTGTGATAAGCTAGGAAATAACGAGAAGAGAGGCACGATTATGACATGTCTGTGTTATTCCCCCCACTTTCAGTTTTCACCCTCCAAACAAGCTTTATGAGTAAATGCATTGCTTGTTCCTATCTAGGAGACATGATAGCTCAGGCAAGTGACGTACCTGGTCTGGTTTCTTGCCTCCAGGAGGCAAGATTTTAGGGTACATTGTCATCAGGAAGATTGTACTGCTCATGCCCATTGGTTAATTGCTGGCTTATTTCTGGACCCGGAGGGAATAATTCTTCCCAAACTCTAACTCTTTATTTCTTTACCTTTAGCTGTCTCCAGATGCTTAGAATTGTTCCATTCTGGACGTTACTGAGCAGTTGGCCTCAGTAACACCACATAGCAAGGAGTTCCACAGAGAAAACACGTTCCACGTTTCCTTCACACAGGTTTATACGGCCCGCCTTACGCGCCACCATTTTTGTACCATTACTGGAACAGGAATTAACACTGCTGCCCCCCTACTTCCCTCAGGAAAAGAGGGTTTCTCCAGTTTAGCAACGGGAAGGCACCTCCTCTACCTACCTCGCTCCATACAAGCATGGTTCCAAATACAACTTGCAGCCCATCAAAGAAGTTGTCTCCAATAATGATCACCATTGCTCCCCCTGTAGTCCAGCCTTCACTTGGGCTGATCGCTTTGATGCACGGCGTGGCTAGACAAAACAAAAAGGACATCACGTTACGGGTTGGGGGTTTTCCCCCCCCCAGCTTTCAGGCTGTTTGCAACACCAGGTGTAAACGATGGGTGCGAGCACCTCCCGGGCGCGCTCAGCAGTCCCAGGTCATACTGATGCAAACCGCAGCTTCGAGCAGCTTCACCTGCCCACTGCCACGGCCCCACGGGGGGCACGAATTCCCTGCTGCTGAAAAGGGCCTCGGACAGGTCCCCTCCAGCCAGTCACCCGTGAAGGCTGCTTTACCATTCCACGAAGCCCAATTAATAAATAAATAAATAAAAGCGTGTTTTCTGCCTTGCTAGTGTTAATTACTTGCCTATTCATTACTGGCACTTAACATTGTGTCATTAAAGCCTAATAGGCCAACTGTAGTGGGTGTAAAAATGAAACGCTTAAATGATTGTGCAGAGGCTGTTTTTTTTTAAAAAAAAAACCCTGCTCATTAGCATATGATCACACAAAAGCTAAACCCTGTGGAAGGAGAGGTAGATTAAGATTTATTAAGTTTATCAATGGGTAAAAAAGATGCAGGAATATCAAATGTTTCCTCCAGTTCCTACCAGGAGACAATTTCTAATAATTTTCTTGATTTTATAGACTAGACTTTTTTTTTTCTTCTCTCTTCCATATGTTCAAGGCCTCTGGACTATACATCCCATCAGGAACCCAATATGGTTTCCAGGCCATAACCAAAGTCAATCCATCACTCCATTCCCAATGTTGACAGGGTCAGAGGTGGAGGGGAACTTTGGCAGTGCTCCAAAAACATGAGACTCCTTTGAACAGCCAGTCAATCACATCCAATCAGTCAAGGAAAAACTGGATGGCTTCCTAGGCTAGGAATCCTGGGATTTTCCTTCTACCATTTCACTGCCCGCTGGGGGAGAATTAACACCACTCTGAATTCTTTACTGATTCAATCATTTTCTTCCAGTTCATTAATTCTTCTTTTAGGTTGATATAGGGCACAGTTAAGAAGTGGGGCAGCAAAACATTATAATGAAATAATATCCTTGCTTGTCTTTTCTACTAACATCGCTAGCTCTTCTCACTTTCACTAGCTGCAGGGGAGGGAAAGGCAGACACAGATAGCATTTTCTAGTAATTTTGAGTACTGTCTGCCTGAGAGAGGTGGAATGCATTGGTAATGAATACACGGGAAGAGGGAGCGGGAGGGGCCAACCATTTTGAAGCTTAACAGATACAAGGATTTGTAATTGCTTTAATACAGTCCAAAACCCATCCTGTAGCTGGCCATGAGTCTTGCTTAGCCAAACAAACTAAAATCAATTAGTGTCAGTTCCCTTCTGTGCATTGTTATGCTTTGTGCGTCGTTTGTTTATGGGAACCAGTGACACTTTTTCATACACATCTTGTGCTGTAACAGTTCTGTTTAACTAAGATGTCATGTTGCCTAATTTGCCTGAAATCAAATCTATCCCAGCTGAACGAGAAGTCTGAAATTTAGATACTACTTCGTGTTTCTGTGTTTTTCATCTTTGCAGTACAAACTAATTAATAAGTTGGGGGGGGGGAGGGGGAGCCAGTCTCTTAGATGTAAAGAGGATCACATTTTGCATGCAAGTAGACACTGTTTTCCTGCCTCTTCCTTCCCCAAACTCCCTGAGGTTCTGTAGTTCCCCCTTAGCTCTCCTTCCCTCCTGAAAACAAACAAATTGAAGAATGGGTAATATGCTTTTGCATGCCTTGCGTACTGTTCTTCAAGCAGACATCCTACCTTCTGAGGGGTCAAGTCTCCTTGCTCTCCGTCCATGCTTGGAGTTGTTGTGAACAAACATGTTGTCAGACACTGCCAGTACGTGCCCGTCAACATTCACTGTTGTTGATAGCACAACCTAGATAGTCAGAAAGGGAAGAAAAAGGAGGCAGGTAAACAATTTACTTTGAAATTCAACTTGTAAAGCATGAATTATTCAGTTCAGTTAAAACCCTCTTCTGTTTGTAAAATGGAAGCATGTCCTGCAGGGTTTACTCCCTAACAAGAAGGGGAGAAATTATTTTCAGCCTTCATTCTATGCCTTAATTCCATTTAACATAGCATCCTAAGGGCCGTATAAAGTCCTTACTGTATAATGAACCAGCTACTGCAGATGGCCCTAAATTTAGTTTCCTATGATGCGCCGCAGCATAGCTGATGGCAAAGAGGTCTACGTACACCAACCAGGAGGGCAGGCTGCAGAGCACCGCAGCAATTTGCCCTCTGATACATACATGCACGTTCAGAGCCATCTGCTGTACTGCGGACACTTGCAAATGTATCTGCATCTGCTCCGAAAATACAGGTCTCCATTGACTGAGCAAAATGGAAACTCCTACTACATGAAAACGGTACCTAGTACAGGATTTTGCTGGCTTGAAGAACACTTTCTTTCTTGAGACGAGTTTAATTCATTCCGAAAGGCCCTTGTCATACTGTACTCTTACACTTCTCAAGCATTCTTGTCACAAAATGTGTTGCTTTTGTGTGCCAACGGATTTCATCATTGCACATTTGGGTGGAGTGAGACTCCTATCCAGAGTGAACATTTCCCGCATGACATAGCTGAACCCACTCAGATGCACTTCATTATTTTCCATTAAACAATGGAAATAAATTTTAATCTCTCACTGGCCAGCACAGAGCACACTATGGCAACAGGGGAATAGACCTGAATTATTCCAGTGTCTGAAATATTTACGACAAGTGTTTAAATTGTAACCAAATGTAAATAAAAAGTATATCATATATATACAGTTACACTACGTAATATACACATATCTGAACTCACATGCACAAGGTACGTATGTGATAAACACACATCCACATGCTCTCAGTAGGAGAGCTTTATAATATATGCAGACTTCAAGTATACACACAGTCCCTGCTCGCATAACCGCTTGGGTGGAAACGTCGTGCACGATACAAGAGCCACGTTTCAGCAAGAGTTGTCGAGATCCCTGTTGCATGAGTAATAGCAAGAAACAGTCCTCTGTTTAGGAGGTAAGTGCTGAGCATCCTCT